GAGGGTGTATCCGCTGTCTGCCAGTTTTATGGGGTTACCGGTGGTGCCTGGAAACCCAGAGGGGTGTGGTTAGACTTCCTTGGATTAAGAAGCAAATTGGAGAGGCTGATGAGTCATATATTGCCATGATTAACATGCAGAGCTCTGCTGCATTTCTGCTGCATCTCGCTGTGGGGTAGCGGGCAGACTGGTTTCTGGGCATGTATGGCATTAGTTTGGATGTTACAGCTGAGCACTTTGTAGGAAAAATAGTAAATTGTTAACTGTGAAGCATGTTTTCAGTGATGTGAGGTGGGCTGTGACCTTTAAAATGCTGTGGCTTATGCTTTGCAGAGTAAAATAGCTCTAAAGCTAACGTGGTTTTTCTTGTTTTGATCTAGAGTCCATGTGCTCAATATGGCACCATAACTTTATTAGGAACCTTCAATTCTGAACTGTCATTGTGGAATAAATGTTGTCCTCAGCCTATTACACTATTAACAATGACACCCTGTCCTTGGAAACAGGATCATGTCTTTCATTTCAAGAGAAACAGAAGAGAAATGCTCCAGTCTGTGTCCCAGAGTGTTTGTGGGCTAGTTGTGTCCCATCTCACTTTTTGTCTCTTGTCTGAAGATGAGTTTATTCTTGGTTAATCTTTTAGAGACTCTCCAGTTTTGTACACATTAACCCCTTTTCCAACCTAAGATCATTTCTTTGCCATTTGATCACTATTTTAGAATTTATTTACTTCTGAACATTTTAAGTGAACTGATCAGATAATTTGGGAAAAATTTTTTCAACTGTGCACTCTGCTAAATATCCTGGGGAAACATTTTGGCTCCGCTTACTTGGTTAATGCTAGTTACATCACCACGGAGCTATAGATTTCTTGGGCGTGCAGAATGATTGCATATTCATGAACGTCTTCAATCCTGAAATATTTGTAAATAACTTGGCAATTTTTTCATAAGGTGGCCTATTAGAATGGTTAGGTCTTTAATTGTTCACACAAAAAGAATCTGTGCTTACAGAGCACCGCCTACTTGATCAGTAACATTTCTGTGCTAAGCAGTTTGGATTATGAACGTACAAATCACCTTCCTCGAACGAAATATAAGAGATGCTATTTTCTGCTTAAGCATGATTCAAGTTTGAAAATGTCAATAGATGCAAAAAGCCACCCCAGAGCTTTGCTCTCTCGGAAGAAAGTAGAGAAGGAATGACATAGTCAATGTTAACTGTCACCAGATGAAGGGAAATCAGATTGTCAGGCCTGGATCTATAACGTTCTTGCCAAAGTAGGACCTCATTTACACATACAGATCTTCATACCCTTTGCTAAGAAAAGCATCTGTGGCAGTTTAGATGTTTGTGCGTTTGCCAAAGATCTTTCACTCTGAATAAAGTAAATGTCATGTCTGTTGTTTATCTCAAATTCAGCACAGTATTTTTAAAAGGAAATATTTGTGGGGGAGGGGAGAGGTTGGGGAGCTCCAGTTTGTGGGTGTAGTAGTTTTTCGGCCGTACCCAAGTATCAGATCGGATCTGGGTAAAGTGCTTAAAACACACTTGGGGCTCATGAGCTGAGAGCATCCTCGTGAAGTGACAGCGTAATAAACAGGAAGGTGGAGTCTTCCTGAATCTATACCTAGTCTGTCAGCACCGAAAAATCCAGTTAATTCAGCCAAACTGACTACTTGGCATCGTGTAGACACAGCTGTCTTGAACTGAAATTTTGAACATTAAACATAGATGGCATTGTGCGTGAAGGCAGCCTGTGCAAGGGCCTCTGTCTGTAACTGTGTATAGAGATGGCTAAGACCTCAGAGGTTGGAGATAGAACTTAATTGCTCCAACTCAAGCTGGGCCCCATTGAATAGCAATTTTTTAAAAACTACATTGTGGTAAAATGTCCTGACAAATAGGTACCCTTGATAAGATCAGACTTTAAGAGTATGATGTGGTAATTTAACTATGTAAATTGCCTTGAATATAAAAATAGAAGTAATTTTTCATGATGTACCGTTTTTAACCTAGCTCATAGCCATTCAAAATCGTAATACAACCCTAATGTAAGATAAATCCTTATCTGATGCCTGTCTCGAAGACGTCTATTTCAGGAGATACAGTTGTGTCACTTCTTCCAAAAATCAAACATTTGTCTTCCATGATCCCTCCTCTTTGGTGCTTGTCCTGTGGGGTACACTGTGACTCTGTCATTTTATTCCCAGATGACATGGAGGCCATCCCCGTCAAACAGTTCGTGAAACACATCGGCGAGCTCTATTCTAATAACCAGCACGGCTTCTCCGAGGATTTTGAGGTATGTTTCAAAACGAAACTTCCAGAGGCCTAACTCCTATTTTACAGGGATTTTTATAAACTTGAAATGAATTTACTTCAATTAGGGAAGTGGAGATGGTTTATCTTTTTTTCCCCCTTAAACGTATAATTTCAACAGGCATTCTTTTCCAAATAAAAATTAGGTTGCACGTGTCCCACACACGCACGTCGGTGGAGCAGCGTGGCGGCAGGAGGCAGGCTCGGGCTCTGTGTCCACTTCAGTCCGACTGCACGGCCGCCGGAGCACGGAGCAAGGCTCCTGCTGTGCGTCACGTCCAGGATGCCACAGCTGGCGTTGCAGATGTGCAGTCTGAGCTTTGTTTCCCTTGGGCCAGTCACTCATCTCTGACCCACAGTGTCCTCGTTCCCAAAATATGGCCAGTGTCACCTACACCCTAAAGTTGGTGGGAGAAATGAATGCTTAACCTGATCTTTGAAGGTGCCGGGCTCCCAGTGGAGCCCACTCCAAGGTCGATGTCGCGACTGCTGATCCTCGGAGGGAGGGCGGCTAACAGCCGGCTGGTGCCCGGAGCTGGTGTGCGGGAAGCAAGGTGGGGAGCAGCCCGCAGCAGCCTGCCAGCCCCGGGCCTGCCAGTGCGGCAGTGACAGGGTGTCGATGGGGAGCTATTAAACAGACTGCCCTTTTCTTCACTGCGCGCCACGACGCGCAGCTCTGGCAGCAGTTGTGCCGGGGAGGCCAAGTTTTCATGGCAGCTCAGCTGTCTTCTGGCTTTCTGGGGAAGTTGGTTCCTTTCTCTGTCTCGTTTCTGCTTGAAAATGGGAGCAATGAGGAGGGTGCTAACCTGCCCTCCTCTTTTCACAAACTGGGCTGTGAGGACCAAGTGAAGTAATGGAAGGTAAGCGCTTAGATGCTCCGGGGCGTACAGCTGGGAGGTGTGGGGATTTTGCGTGGAGAACAAGAAATAAAAATAGGACCTTTCAAAGCCCGTCTCCATGCAGATTCGGAGTCCCCAAAGGCCATCACAAGGCAATGATATTGAGAAAGCCCTTCTCTTTGTTTTTGCTTGTTTTGTTTTGTTTTGGGGCAATACCAAAGCAAAGGTGATAGAGTGAAGGAACCCTCCAATTTTCCCTGCAAAGTCATGTGTTTTATGGAACAAATAAAAACATGTCAAGTATGTAACGTGCCTAATGCTTACCAGAAAAGGTGCCTATTGGACTACAAAGAACATGGTTTAAAGTGAGGCATTTTGTATTCATGAGGACAGCAACTGTGTGTGGTGTTCAAGTGATTTAGTTCAATTGGCTGTTGGCTGGGTGACTGAGCAAGAATATTGAGGCATTTAACAGTGTTGATGGCATTCAGGACAAACATTTATCCTCTAGGGAACAGAATTTGATCAGGATGATCAGATGCAACTCCAGTTTCTCAATTATTTATGACTTGAGACCCCAGTGCTATTCATCACAGCTGGTTTCGACACCATTTAATTATTCAAATAATCTGCTCCGCCTCTGTAAACTCGATCGGACTTAAAATGGGCTTTGCTGCATCAAAATCATGCCTGCTATCAAGTCCTGAGCATCTGCACCCAATTTCTATCCTAAAAAATATGGAGGCTAGGAGCTTTCAGAGCCTATGTTGAACTTCAGAGCTGAAATCTTATTAGCAGGTAGTGGGGGCGGGAGGCAGGGAGGGGAGAGGGGAAAGAGGAGGGAGGCATTGTTCTACTCGTGTCATTTCACAATCCAGTTTGAAAGGCTGAAAATCAGAGCTGTTCAGAACAGTAAGGCAGCAACACGAAGGGGGAATGGGACCCAGCGTGAGATCTCACGGACATACTCCCAGCTTCGAATGTAGGGAGAATGTGAGGTACTTAAAAAAAGTAATAGTATTGCTTTTGGGTGGCTCTGCTAAAAAGGAAAACTGGAAATGGGCTATATAAAAAGGTATTAAGGCAGTTTTGTAAACAGGAGATAGTAATAGGCTATAAACAGAAGGTCAGGAAAAGAGATCTGGTGTGATTTTAAAAACCGCAAAAGAAAACCCTCACTATGTTAAGAGTAGTTAACACATCTGATTTCCAGACCTTTTCATGTGAAATGGTGGCCAGCACGTACTTCGCTCCTCAGGACCACCCCAGGAGGGGCTGCTTAATTGTCCCCATTTTACAGATGAGGAAACTTGCCCCTTGAGAAAACTAAGGCTGTGGGTGGCTTCGTTTAGAAATGACAGAAATAGGTGTGACGTCCAGCGCTCTCTGAATCCAGCCCATGTGTTTAACCTCGACACCCTCCAGAATCTCAGTGACCGTCCTGTAAGGAGCTGAAGTCAGAGGAAGAAAGCCAAGATTGCCAGTGATTGTCTGACCATGCTGCTGACAGGCCAACACTTGCCTTGGCGATAAAAAACCAGGGTAGGGGGAGCAGCCAGAATACTAGGAGCCCATTACATGATCTTTTTGGTCTAGAGCCTTCCCAGATCGCTGAGAATCTGACTTATAAAAATCTTATATGACATCTGAATAAAGCCTTAAAATTAAAGAACTAATCTTAAGATTATAGAAAAATACCACTTAACGGTTGGTATTTGGCCATTAAGAGGAAATGAAACAACTCATCTACGAGTTACGAGTACCTGATATTCTCTGGACATAATATAAAGTCCAAGGGTGAGCTAAAGCCCGACCATGCCCTCAGGTTCAGTCTGCTGGGGCGGGGGGCGGAGGCCAGAGTGCACCCCATAGACACAAGGTTCTGGGGCGTGCAGAGAAGGGCCCCTGTGAGCTTTGATGGGTAGTCCACCGAAAGTTCTATTTGCCCCACCTTGTTTAAAAATCACAGATGATAGTGAAGAAAATGTTGGTGAATAACTGTTATAGTCTCAGAACTTTGCTGCTTGGAGGACAGTGAGAAGAATGATGCACTGGTCATTTGAGTGCTGCTGAAAGCAAGCTTTCTGTCCTTGTCAGATAGATTTTAGAGACTGTTAAAGCTGGCGACATTATACCTATAGCAGGTTTTGCAGTCACTGAAAATAGCATCAATCTGTATCTTGGGATGGCCGTGACTCTGTCCCTTGGCTGCCTGAGCTCCCTTCAGCCTCACCCTTCCCAGCCCCCATCATTGGGTCCAGGAGGCTCCCAGAGGCACAGTGTAGCCTAATCTTCAAAAAGAGGGAGCTCCAGGCTCGGGGTCGAGAGAATTAATAGGCCGGGTGCAGAGATGAGGCCAGAGGTCCAATGCCCCTTGATCAGATCCTTTGGGGCAGTGCCTTGGTCACAATTAACTGCAGCTGAGCTAAATTGGGGCCGGTTGCTCATCTTAAGAGAACAGCTGTGTCCTCCTGAGCCCATGCGCTGGGGGACCGGTGGCCACAGTCACCTTATGTTAGATGCAGAATTCCTGTGGCGTGGGACACATCATGAGATCAGAGGGGTGATGCTGCATGCAGACCACCACCTACACGGTGGCAGAAAATGACCCTGCAGATCTTCCTGAGTGACAAAATGCCAGTGTGGATCTTAAATATCCTAATGAAAAACATTTTTAAACCCTAATTATGAAGAAATCATGGTTGATTAAGTTGAGGTTTTTATGAAGGGAGACAAAAGTGAGTTAGCCAAATTCCACAAATTGCATAAAAAGATCATTTTATCTTACCTGCAACAGGATGATTGGCACTCCCGGGAGTGGAAAGGCAGAGGCTCTCCTTGAAGGCGTCTGGGTGGGGAGGGCAGAGGACAGGCATTCCGAGCTAGGTAGGTGGCAGGGAAGCGGAGCGCAGGAAGTCCTGTGGTCTTTTCAAAGGGTACAGTTAACACTGTCTGGGATTAGGAAGGGGGTTGGTGAGAGATGGGATGCGAACTTGAAAGGCTGGCTAGGAACCTGGAATCCATCCGGAGGTTTCTAAGAACAGAACCACCCTAGAGCGGCGTGGGAAGGAAATCAGTGGGGCAGCAGCTCGCAGCCTGAGCAGAGTGGAGGCAGGAAGGTTCCGTGTGACGGCACCTGGCTGAACACAGGCGCTGAGGACATTGCACATACTCCGTCTGACACTTGGTTAGCAGGCCCAAAGTATTTTCTTCTCAGCTTGCTTGTGAAGCTGAGTCATCCAAAGGATGTCTAGATGTATTTTTGTTTAGTTACTTGTTCAAAGTGAGCCACAGAATGGCAGGACAGTAGGTCTCCACGTGCCGTCTCCCAGCCTCTCCACATCCGCTCCAGGCAGAAGGTGATCCAGCCTATTCATCCAGGAATTCTAAGAATATCAACTTTGTTTTATGAACAAACAAAAATTTTTATATTTGTATTTTAAACCTCCTGTTTTCAGTCAGCTGTCTTCTGTGGTTGTGTGCCTCATAATACTAAGAATATCCATTTTGCCAGTTCCAGCTTTGTTATATAGACAGTAAAATACAAATAAGTACAAATAAGTTTATATCTTAAACTATTGGTCAGAGTGCTAAATAGATGACTTTACACGCTCCGTCAACCACTGTCACTTTAAAAGTTTTAACACCTATTAAAATCACATTAACTTCGAAATGCCAGTTCTGATGGAGAAGAGCCACTCTCGGATCAGATGAGGTTATCAGCACCTAAAGGAGCCCAGCAGTACTGCAAGGAATTATAGATGCCATTATTATCAACAAGACAGAATCAGAAGCCTTAGGCAAACCTGTGGTTTTTCATAAAATCAGATTTAATATTATTTATGACTATTCTTTGTTTTCTGTCATTCACATAATTGGAAAAGTGAAATAGAGGCTATGGACAGACCGAGGGTTTTGGATAACTAAGAGGCTGATTGGCCATATCGAGTGACTGCTTTAAACTGCAGACAGCTGCTCCCAAGTCTTGGTCAATTGCATTATACTACGATAGAGGCTCGACCTCAGTCCATAGCTACGGTGGTCAGATTTACACGGTGGGGAAAAAAAACCAACAAACAAAGCAAATCTCGAACTAAAGTGCTAAAAGCTGAAATCTCTCAGCACAAGATATTTCAGCAACTCAGCCCTGAAGAGGTACAAGCAAAAGCTGTGACCTTCAAAACCCAGGAACAAAGGGTGCCAACTTATTTCAGGGATCTGTGCATAGACTAAATGTCCTCCGGAACACAAATCCATTTTCAAAGGTTTTCTGCCCTGATACTGTTCAAAAGAGTATGCCTCCAGCTTTCAAGGCAGTTCTGAAAGGCCAGTTCCCCAAGTACTCCCAGTACGGCCAGTGTTGCATGTGTTCTTGTCAATGTTAAGATCTCCGACTTATTACTTTGTGCCCAACACTTGATCTCGTTTTAGGGAAGAGCCAAGGGCAGCCTTAGGTCCCTTTAAACCAGCATTTCCCAAACCATAGGTTATAAAGCGTTAGAATCAAAAATATATCAGAGTTTATCACATTTAATAAAAGTAAGAAAAAGGTAAGAATTTTCATGAAACACACACAGAGAGGTGTGTTGAATTAATGCCTGTGGGGCTTTTTTCTTTTTTAATGGACACATGGGAAGGCCCACAGTTATGAAGAATTCCGTCTGCGCGTCCAAGAATCAGGAGTCCATGAATATGGTTTCTTTGACTAGATGGCGCCCCTTTGTTTTTACACGAGGTTCTTTGATTAAAGTGAGTTCTCCTTGGAGAGGAGAGAAGACTCCTCACTGCGAGTAGCCTATGAATATGAAAGACAGCCAGGCCCGGCTGGGCGTGGCTCAGTGGTTGAGCATGGACCTAGGAACCCAGCGATCAGGGTTCGATTCCCGGTCAGGGCAGTTAAAAAAAAAAAAGACAGCCAGTTCCCTTTTATTCATTATGCCTGATGTCAGTGCTGTGGAAAACACTCATTGCTCTGCAACTCCTTTGTGCAAAAAGTCTGCGTGCTCCCAAACTCTGTTACATCTCCCATGTGTAAAACTTTTCTCCTGATTATTTTGTGTCACTTTGCTCCTGCTCTTTGTAGCAGCTGTGCTCTGCTAATGACTTCCCTTCTTAGTTAGCTCCAGTACTTTCTTGCATTTGAAGCATAAAGTGTAGAAAATTTTGACTTTTCAGCAAACTTGTTTTAGGCTAATGGATGATGTTTATACCCAGGGCAAAGGTAGCCAATGAGAATTGCTGCTTCTGCTGTTTTTCTACCAAGGTAATTTAAATAAAATTAGAGTTTACAAAGAATTCATCAGAGACATATAGTTGAGCCAGATATGACAACTGATTGGGGCTGTATATTCGTGTCATTGCACTGATTGGGGCTGTATATTAGTGTCATAGTGACTGAGTTTTTATAGTCAATTTGCAATCTGATAGTTATAAAACAAGGCTCTATAGCCCTGGCCGGGTGGCTCAGTTGGTTAGAGCATCATCCCAGTAAGTACGCCAAGGTTGTGGGTTCAATCCCTGGTCAGGGCACATATAAGAAGCAACCAATGAATGTATAAATAAGTGGAACAACAAGTGGATCTTTCTCTCTCTCTTTCTCTCTCCCTTCCTCCCTTCTAAAATCAATAAAGGATTTTTTAAAAGGGGGGCTATATAACCAATAAGCATATTGGAAATCCTGGTAGAGATTAGACCTCTGCTTGGAAAATTCTAGCTCACCCTTTAGGGCCTGTGGATGATCTCCTGTTTGAACCCTTCCTCTGTGTTCCAGTCCTAGTTTCTTCAGGCCTCTTTCCTGTTAATCACGTTTGACTGTCATTATCTTTTTGCATGTTTTTCTCACTCATTAGACTGTGACTTATTTAAAAAGAGATACTGTTTTGTAATCCCCATTTCTAGGTCCAAATCTATAATAAAGCAGACGATTGATGAATTAGTAAATGAGATCCTTTTATCTGGTTCACATCCTTCCTGCATTAGCTGTGAATACGTCAGTAATTATTTCTGAAGTCGCGTTTGGGGAGGTAACAGCGGCAGTGGCTGGGGAGTGAGTGAACACTATGCTTGCTGTTCAGCGTCTCAAGTGTGTGTCTAAAACCTCTGAAATCTTGCGTTTTCCTCCTTAGGAAGTCCAGCGCTGTACGGCCGACATGAACATCACCGCAGAACATTCCAATCATCCAGATAACAAGCACAAAAACAGATACATCAACATCTTAGCATGTGAGTAATAAACTTTAAGCTATCTTCTTCCACTGCGAGGAAGTTCAGTCTTCATGCTGGGTGGAAGCTGAAGCCCAGCAGTGAGAATCAGGATGCCAGCCAAGAGCTACAGTTGCAAGTCACCGGTCATTAGCCCATCTTCAACCGTGTACAGGAAGACACGGGACAGTTTCTGCCCCCTTCGTCTTTCATTATGTGTAATAATAAGATGGTTGAAAGAAAATGTTCTGAGCTTCACTGTTTTCACATGATGTGACTCCATATCCAGTGCTGGGAATGAAAAGTTTAATGTCATGTGGCTACCTTGACATGGTTTTAAACCAATGAGAGCCCAATCTTTTAAAGCAAATAGAAATTCTGAAAACGAATCAAGTGAGCTGAGTTCCAAAGCCGTCTTTTCTGGACCAGGTAATTGGTCTGTACCTTAAGTGATGAGCATCCCGTCCTTGTGGCCCACGTGCGTAGTCCTAGCCAACATATTTCCAGGGTCAAGATTATCCTGGAGATTCTGGACTCAGACAAATAATTGTTATTCTTATGGCGCCTCAAGGCATACCCTAGGAGCACAGGCCACTTCTGTGGCTAGAATGCCACTTTTCATAGACATAAGTGCTTGGGTCACTGGCAGGTGCTTTGATATTAAGGGCAGGGCACAGATGTTTATAGTAAAGATACATGCTGGTAAGGAACACATTACATAGAATTTTATGTAATAGTGCATTTAAATTGGACCATTTAAATTAGAACACTACTATGGTCTTTAATAATACTTTAGTAAGATATAATTCATATACCATATAAATTCAGCCATTTAAAGCCAGTTTAAATTTCAGTGCCTTTTAGGATAGTCACAGAGTTGTACAACCATCACCACTATCTAGTTATAGAACATTCTTAGCACCCCAAGAAGAAACCCTGTTAACCAGTCACTCCCAATTCATCCCTTTCTCCCTAAACTCCCTAGAAACCATTTAGCTGCTTTCTGTCTCTCTAGATTTTCCTGTTTTGACATTTTATATAAATGGAATCATACAATATGTGGCCTTTTGTGTCTGGCTTCCTTCTACTTAGCATTATGTTTTCAAGATTTATCCATGTTGTAGCTGTATTAGTATTTAATTCCCTCTATAGCTGAATAACACTCTATGGTATGGATATTTTATTTACTCATTTATCATTTGATGGGCATTTGAATTATTTCAACTTTTTGATTAATATGAATAATGCTATAAACATTTGTATATATGGTTTTGTGAGGACATGTTTTAATTCTCGTGGGAGTATACTTAGGAATGCAATAGTTAGGTCATGTGGTGAGTTTAATATTTTGAAGAACTTCCAAAGTGGCTGCACCATTTTACATTCCCACCAGCAATATGTTAGGGGTTCCAGTGTCTCCTTGTCAACTTGTTACTTTGTGTGTTTTTTATAAGAGCCATCCTAATGGATGTGAAGCAGCATCTCACTGTGGTTTTGATTTCCATTTCCCTAGTGATTAGTGATGTTGAACATCTTTTCACATACGTATTGGCCATTTGTATATCTTCTTTGGACAAACAGTGTGAATCGATACTTCTCCATTTTTAAAATGGATTACTTGTCCTTTTTTTCTAGTTTAAGAATTCCTCATACATTCTAGATGTAAATCCCTGATCAGTTTGCAAATATTTACTCTTTCTGTACATTGCCTTTTCACTTTCATAATGGTGTCCTCCTTTGATGCACCTATTTTTTAAAATTTTGGTGAAATCCAATGTATCTATTTTTTATTTTGTTGCCTATGCTTTTGGTGTCATAGCTAAGAAACCATTGATTAATCCAAGATCATGAATATTGATGTTGTCAAGAGGTTTATGGTTTTAGCTTTTACATTCAGGTCTCTGATCAATTTTGAATTAATTTTTGTATACGGTGTGAGGTAGGGGTCAACTTCATTCTTTGCTTGTCGATGTCCAGTTGTCCCAGTACCATTTGTTGAAAAGACTCTTCTTTCCCCCATTGAATTGTCCTAGGACCCTTAATGAAAATTAACTGACCATAGGTGTAAAGAGTTTATTTCTGGACTCTCAATTCTGTTCCATTAATGTCTAGCCTTATGTCAGTACTATGCAGTCTGGGATTTTTATATGGATTGCACTGAATCTATAAATTAATTTGGGAAGCACTACCGTCTTGACAATATTAAACCTTTCATTTCATGAAGATAGGATGTCTTTCCATTTACCTAGGTCATCTTTTATGTCTTTCAACAATGTTTTATAAGTCTGCATTTTACAAGCGCTGCACTTCTGTTCAATTTATTGCTAAGTATTTTATTCTTTTTAATGCTGTTGTAAATGGAATTGTCTACTTAATTTTACGTTCAGATTGTTCACTGAATGTATAAAAATACAATTAATTTTTGTATATTGATCTTGTGTCTTACAACCTTGGCTGAACCCATTTATTAGTTCTGTTATTTTTTGTGGATTCCTTAGGATTCCTAAATACAAGATTGTGTCATTTGTGAATATAGTTTTACTTCTCCCTCTAGATAAACTTCTAAAAGAACCACAAGTCATTCTCGTCAAAGAGTATTTGCTTCAGTTATCTGAGGATAAGGGGGCAAAACAGAACAAGGGAGAGGAAGGCCCTTCTCTTTCCAAGTCTCTGGGTGGATTGACTCTGGGAGAATTTGTCTGTCTATGTAGCTCATTTCTAACCACATGTCTCGGGCAGGGATATATGTGTCTTGCACGTGTCCACACATACCATTCTCTCCACTGTAGCAATCTCTGCTTCTAGCAACTGCACAGCCTCGGCCAAACATACATGGCAAAGAAGAGGGAGGAAATCAAAGCATCGTCTGTGTAATGTGAGCAAGAATCTTGGTGTTTTGCTGGAAAACCACCGTCTCCAGCTAAATGTGCTTATACTTTCACAGGTTCATTGTGGTTTTACTTTCACAAATTCAAATTACATGTGGTTTGATTTTCTAAGTTCAGAGAGTTGGGTTTTTGGTATTCTCTTGGTCACTTGGTCAGATTCTGGGCATATCACTTGTCACCTTGGTTTACCCCTATATTAATATCTTCATATAGCAAAGAAGAGCATGGAATGTCATAGAACAGGTAAAATTAGTCCATGAATGTGCCCGAAAAACAATGTAGGAAAAGCCTTCTCTCCCAGAGCATCACCCCCCTCCCTTTTGTTCACAGGTAAAGTTAAGTGGATTCTAGAATCTGATCATTGGCTTCAGATTCCTGCAATGACATTACTCTTACAAGCAGCTTTAGCTCCCTCAATAACTTTTCTGTTGGCGTGGCGGGGACTCTGATTTAATTAGCAGTGAAACCTCCTGAAAACAGATGCTATGGACTTGACATAACAATCACTTTTCAATATCTGTACTAATGGGGAGGGGATTGGGGCATGGGTAATCAAAGGCCTTAGAAACTGGTTTTAAAGTATAGGACAAGGAAATTTTGGAGGGTTGCAACTTGCAGGGGTTTTACATGAACTAATAAGGACCTTGATCTGCATTTAGGGAGCACTCACAGGTCAGAGCATGAGGCTCTGTTTTTGAGATGGGTTCAAGTGCTGGCTTTTAATTTTTAGTTCTTCTGAAAGACCTCTCAGGCAGTCTGGGAGATGCCATACAACCTGTTTGCCTTGTTTTGTGCTTCAGAATGCTGCTAGTTTCTGAATTTACATTTTGGTTTTGCCTTTTTGTTTTCTTACCCTCCACAGATGATCACAGTAGGGTGAAGTTAAGACCTTTACCAGGAAAGGACTCCAAGCACAGCGACTACATTAATGCAAACTATGTCGATGTAAGTTAAAAATGTTCTTATAAACCCATTTCTGATGGTTGAAAAGTGCCGCGGAGACTTTTCAGTGGTTTTTAATGCTGCACAGAGCTTTCACTAAAAATTGCCTGTTCAGTGTGGACGGTGCTTGAATTGCTAACTGGCCTGTGATACTGCTCTCATCTGACTTTGTGCTGTGTCATCTTTGAAGGGCTACAACAAAGCAAAAGCCTACATTGCCACCCAGGGACCTTTAAAATCGACATTTGAAGATTTCTGGAGGATGATATGGGAACAAAACACTGGGATCATCGTCATGATTACGAACCTCGTGGAAAAAGGAAGGGTAAGAGCTGCTCGGCTTTAATCTTAGTCACGTGTCCTTGTTCGAAAACTGCTTGCGGAGCCCCTGCCGCAGGGCGGGCGCTCGGCCAGGTGTAAAGGGTTACAGGAATGAGGAGCGCTCTCTGGCCTCACCTGGCTGTGGTATTGATGAGCAGGGTACTGGGCAATGCTGCAAATGGATGACTGTGTCTTCTAGTAAGATGTTTTTTAAAGAAACCCATATTTGAAGTGAGACTTGAGCAGTGAGTTAGGGAGAGAATTACACAGGCTGAAGAGAACGGGAAGGGCAGCCAGGTGTGGGGATAGAAAGAACAAAGGCAGGGGAGGTGGAAGAAATGCACTGCAGCCAGAGCCACTAACAGTTCAGACTAGGGAAGTAGAGAGACTGTTTAAATACCCAGACCATCATTAAAAGAACCTTTTATGATAGTTAATATTTTAGAGTGTATTAGCTAATGAGCTTATAATAGATGATGCTCATTTAGGCTGGAATAGGGGCTAAGTCCTAGGTTTGTAAGAATCACTGTAGCTTCACTTGGACTTAAGAGTCCCTGTGTGGCCTTTGGTGACCCAAGCTGGGAATGCAGCCCAGCCTCCCTCAAGCTCCCCTTATAGCATATCCTACCCACGTTTTTCATGGGTTCAACGTACAGATGTCTTTCTCAGGCCCACTTTATAGTATATCCTGTGTTGAAAGATGGTTGTGAATACTAGGCTCACTTCTCAAATGATCTCAGCCAAACTTGTCCTGAGAGGAACCTCTTGAGGTCATACCCACTTGTAAGCAGTGCGGCCCAGGAGTTCCTTTTATGTCAACAACGTGGCGATATTACCTGCGTTTTAACACTGTCGCTTGAAGTTACATTATCAACAGTAAAATCATGGCAGAAATTGCTGTTGCAATTTTTAGCTTTTTCTTCTTGCAGCGAAAATGTGATCAGTATTGGCCAACAGAGAACAGTGAGGAGTATGGGAACATTATCGTCACATTGAAGAGCACAAAAGTACATGCCTGCTACACTGTCCGTCGTTTCTCCGTCAGAAACGCAAAAGTAAAGAAGGTATTGAAGCAGTCGGGTGGGCTGCCGGGGCGTCTCTTTTTAAACGTGTATGAAAATGTACAACCAAAGCCAATTTTCATAACCAGCTTGGGTTTTAAAAAGTATTTTAAAACATTTTTTCATACCTCTTTTGACTGACAGCAATGTATTGTGTGAAAGATACTGGCAAAGCACATAGTAGACTCTAACTGGCCTGAGTTTAGTGTCTTTGTGAAGAAAGCTTCATTTTCAAAAAGGTCCTCTAGGTTTTGCTAACTGGTGGGTATGACAGCATCTCTGTGCTGAGTTAGCTTTTTAATTCCAATTTTCTGACAGTTTTAAATGAGTACTAAGCCTGCAAGATGCTGCTAGTATGTAAAACTAATGCTACATACTACGCATTCCCCCTTAGAAACGTGCAGTGAGCACGAGTGACCACAGTGCTAGAGTTAAGAAACCCAGTCAGCTTCGTTTGGCCTCGTGTTTCCCAGTATGACTTTACAGTAAAACCCTTTTCTATAACCGTGAACATGCGGAGAATCCCACCCTGTGGAAATGCAGCTTTCAGGTTATCTCAGTTTCTATTGTTCAAACTCCGCTGTCCCGTCCAGACTCAGACCAGTACAGCAGTACTGTGAGCTCTGCACAGATGCTCATTAGGAACGTAAACTAGTTACTCTACAGAGACTTCCAAATAGCAGTTATTTGTAGCAGTGGGTCTTGATTTTTTAGTTTAGACATCTTTGGGAATGTGATAAAACTGTAGCCCCTTACTGCAGAAGAATTTATTTACTCACATTGTTATATACAATTTCAATTGCTCTGAAGCCCATCTGGGGTCCAAGGGTTAGCCCCTTCCTATGTATAGTTTTCCCAAGAATGGCAGAAGTATGTAAAAATCAGAGGCACTGTATTATCTGTTCTCTGTAATAGAACTGAGCTGGCTCAGGCTAACCAGCAGTCACTTTATACTTACAAAGCCTGTTGCCTGTGGAAACCCTTTAGGTATTAAACATGGCCCTTACACAGCTGAAATCAGCGGAGGAAGCACATAGGAACCTTAGGTGCTTTGCACATGGTAAGAGGGTAAGGTAGTAACTGAAAATGAGAGAGAGGAAAATGAGAGTTCAGAGATCAAGAAATCAGAGCCAGCAGGGCCTCTGTAGCACCGGGCCAAGCACCCGACAGGCTTCAGTGTAGATTTATGAACGGCCCCGAGTCATCACACACTTTAGTTCTTAGATGTGTATAAGAAAAGAGGTATCACAGCAAGTGATCTGTTTGGGGAAATTTTTCATCTAAAGTAGTTAAAATGTGAAAAGTTCAGCCACTTAAAGGAAGACGACTCTGAAAAATTCATTTATACAAGTGATCAATTTATTTTTGGCTCCGACTCTAGAGATTGAGACTCAGGTGTCACTTAGGGTCTTCCCCGCCCTTCAGGAGAACACTCAGCAGGAGCCAGCACATGGGCTCCTGAAAAGCCTGCCTGGGCATTGGAGGGGGAATGGGGGTCATGGCCCACAGGTAGTGGAAAGCAAAGCACGGGGGCAGGAAGTGGGGGCTTGGCAGGCAAATAGTGCTTTATATGGTTCCAGATCCAAAAACCAGATTTTAAACATTCGTTCTTGGTACAATCCTAAACCATTTTCTCTCCTAAGAGAGGTCTGATACTTCTCGGCCAGCTGGGAAAAACCTCTCCATTTATGGCATGAGGTGACCACAGAGAGGAAATAAGCTCGCCCAGAAACAGCAATAAGGGCGAGAGAGGTCCTGTTTCCCCACATGCCAGCCTTTTCATCCAGAATGCTCACGCTCAGTGTAGCATTTTTTCACGTTCCTCCTAGGGTCAGAAGGGGAATCCCAAGGGCCGGCAGAATGAAAGGGTGGTGATCCAGTACCACTACACGCAGTGGCCCGACATGGGCGTCCCCGAGTACGCCCTCCCGGTCCTGACCTTCGTGAGGAGATCCTCGGCCGCCCGCACGCCCGAAATGGGCCCCGTGTTGGTGCACTGCAGGTAGGGCCGCCTCTTTCCTTGTTCCTGCCAGATTCTGCATGCGGTATGCGGGGCGTGGCCTTGTGGATCTAGGCCCCTGTGGCCCTGTCACTGTTTTGTATGATTTAGAAATTGAGCCTTCCATTCACAATGGAACTTACTGGGACCAGTAAGACCTGTTACGTAAAATAACTATATTCCCATGATACTGAGAAACCATCTGCTGCTTTTGAGGTTAAAACAAAATCTACTCTTAGAGGATAAATCTCTAGTTTTTATAACATTATCTTCTTAAAATCTCCATTGTGTATAGGGAAATTGCAGGCTGCTTATATGTAAAAATCTGATCTTAAACACAAGTTTAGAGCTTTCGAGTTTTTGTATATGGCTTTTCTTGTGGGTTCCTTGAAGTAATAATTACAGTGTGTATGAAAGGATTTTCAAAATGTGGACACATGCTATATAAACTTTTTAAAATCACTGGGAAAGTCTGTAAAGCCATTTTCTCTCAGCTACCTGGAACAACCTTAGCTGGCTGTTTAAAAACTGCTTTCATTGAGTTTTGTTCGTAATTGTATTCTTGGTCTGGTCTTTTCCACTCTGGTGTTCAAACGGATGTTGCCTGTTCTGTGGTTTAGATCACAGAGGTGCACAGCATTTTCTTAGGTCACAATTTCTGCAAAGGACCCTATCTTCTGTTTACAATCCCATGAGAACTCTGCATGTTTGCTAACCCAGTTAGGAATCACTAACAGAGATAAGTGTCTGTCAAAGGGCTTGGGTATCGGGGACTTGCTGGGGTATCCTGCCAAAAGCAGCTTGCTGCACAGGACCATAGAACTTAGATCTTCCTATTTTTATTTAATAATGAAAAATGAGTAAGGCCAAATTTTCCAGATGTGACATTCTTATTCCATACCTGGATTATTAAAGGAAAGCACCCCTTTAATTAGGGACTTTCTAATACTGAGCAGACAGGGGCATTGGGCAAAAAGGGGATTTACTGAAAGGCACTCCCAGAATAGATGGGAGAGTTGGAGAACCATGCATATGCCGCAAAGAAAACCCCTGCACACTGCCTCAGCAGCCGCGGCTCTGCCATGGCACTGGCTGCTGCCCAGGAGGCTGGGAAAGCTGGTAGGTAACATTTTCCTGCAGCCCCATGGTATGAAGGCAGTCTTGGCTCCCCATCCACACTTGTGAAGTGGGCAGTGTCCTAAGAAGGTCTTTCGATGCTATCCAGGTTGAATAACCTGTCTGAACATCAGGGCTGTTTCTGCGCTCGTTAGCAGCTGAGATGGTAACCGCTCCAGTCCACAGTGCAGCAGGTACTAGTCGCGTGTCCTCGTTTCTTCCAGCGCGGGCGTGGGCAGGACAGGCACCTACATTGTAATAGACAGCATGCTGCAGCAGATCAAAGACAAAAGCACAGTGAATGTCCTGGGGTTCCTGAAGCATATCAGGACACAGCGTAACTACCTCGTCCAGACTGAGGTAAGCAGAGGTTGCCAGGGCTCTCTGACACTCTGGCACCTTCTTTAACCAGAAATTGATATTGAGGAGACCGATTCATTCTCTCAGGGCCTGAAAGAATTCACAGGTTTGTATTAGAAGTTATCCTTCCCATGATATTACTCTTGGGCTCACAGTTTTCCATTTCTGTGTGGCCCTTAAATTTGGAATTCTCAACAACTACACCAGCACTTATGTAGCCAGTACAGTTGGATCTAGGGCCGGGTTCGATGCTGTGGGGAATGAAAACTACATATATGGTATGTGAGAATGGTTCCACAGCCCTTCGTTGAACTCCCATTTCTCCACCGTGGGCTACGCTGAACCTGTCGTTTGGGGCATGGTATGGAATATAGAACTACACTCAGCACAGTCTCTACCCTAACATAAATTACTGGATAAGCTAAGTATTGGGGCAAACCACGTAGCTGTAAATGCTTGAAGGAATTCACCAGGGAGGGCCCTGTTGGGGGAAGAGCTCCTCAAAGGTAGATTTTAGGGATGAGATAGAGGTGACCACCCCTGCACAGCTCTCCTCAGTGACTGCCATATGCTGAACCTTTTAGGAGCAGTACATTTTCATCCACGATGCCTTGTTGGAAGCCATTCTTGGAAAGGAGACGGAAGTATCTTCAAATCAACTGCATAGCTATGTAAACAGCATCCTCATACCAGGAGTAGGAGGAAAGACACGACTGGAAAAACAATTCAAGGTAGTGCTTCGCATACATTTCTTTGGTAAAAAAGCAAGGAAGTAAGAAACGCCTTGAGTTTGGTGTCACTTTTTTTTTGCATGAATGTATAGACTGAAATGGGTTACTATTCATACTCTTCAAACATAATGCAAAGAAATAGAGTTCCACCTCTGTGTATATTGTTGGTGTCCAAGTAGATATTGCAGGGCTGTATTTTCATCTGAACACACACATCAGCCCCCAACCACAATGACATCATACTCTGGAATCAGTCCTTACAGTCCAAAACATATCCTCTGCATTTTTTTTGAACCTATTTTACCCTTTTTAAGAATGGTTATTGTTGACATATTATCCAAAAAAAAAATAAAGCAATTTGAAGACTGTCCTAGCAGATAACTTTTCCTAAATCTTTATTCTTTTTCTTTGATAGGGGTACGAAGTTGAAAGGCAGTAACTCTGAAAAGAGAGACTATACGGGCTATTAAAGTAATTAAGATCAGAAAAGCTGAGTTATCTATTACAGCTTGTAAAAGTCTGTCTATCTAACCACTAAGTGCTTTTCTTTTCCTTAGTGTCTCAGTCTTAAATTTCTATTTTTTCGCACATTGTTCTGTAATTTCTCATTTTGTATCAAGGTGGAAAGAATGAGATGAATCTGTACAGTTTTAGTTTTCGTGGTAAAACTTTCCATAGACTCTGAAACCTTCATTTGAATGCCCCCTGAAGAAATGAGACAGCCAAGAGAATAACAGCAAGTGATATGAGTGAAGATTAATTTCACTGAGTTCAGTCCTAACAATTTCATATTTCTAATTCTCTTTCCATGACTCCCATACTACTCTAAAATCCATTTGAGCTAATTAGTGTCTAATTGTAAATGTTTAAAATAAGTTCTTAAAAAATAATTAAGTACCAGCATTTCTTCAATGCTGCCTTTTCTATAATCTTTTACACATACTTTTTTTTTTAATTCATTGACGAAATCAGTTCATTCCATTAGGAACCGGGTAATTGGTCCTTTTACAGACACCACTTTAGAAGGAAAAGACCAAGAATCAGAAACTTACTACCTACACCCAGGGCCTTTGACATCCGAACTAAGGCACCTGGAGGAGACCGTTCCCACTCGATTAAGATGGACCCAAACGTATAAATACATAAGTCGGTTCAACCACTTTGGTTATTCTTCCTGTTTATAGAATTGACAAACTACTGGGCTCATGATTTATAACATCCTTAGAAGAATGTCAGTTCCGTTCAACATTGATTTACTGAGAACTTAGTCAATTCTTTAAGACACATGGTTAGCGCTTAGTACCATGAAGCAGTGTTTTCCAGCGCAGCTCTTGTGCCTGAGGAATTCCAAGAAAAATTTTCACAAAAGCAGTGCCATCAACGGGAAAATCTACCTTCATTCAGTAAATATCATTTACTTACCTAGTACCTCTCACAAAGAAGCCAAACAGCTGACAGAAGGAGTAAGACGAGCATACAGATAACCAAGATAAGAGAGAAATACCACTAGTGAGAGAAAATATTCTCTGGGCTATAAAATTGTCTTTATTCCTCAGTAATCTGATTACTGATATTTTTTCTAAGATCAAGCACATGCTATCAATTATACCCTTTTGGTTGGTTGGTTTATTGTTTTTTTCTACCTTTATTGATATATAACACTATATAAGTTCAAGGTGTACAAGGTAATGATCTGGTGAACGTATATATTGTGAAATGATAATCACAGCATGTCCACAACTCTACCTTTGGATGAAGACTGAAATGTTGTTTTTCTTTCAGCTGGTCACACAGTGTAATGCAAAATACGTGGAGTGCTTTAGTGCTCAGAAAGAGTGTAACAAAGAAAAGAACAGAAACTCTTCAGTCGTGCCATGTAAGACCTTAAAATCAGTTTGGATGAGTGTGTTAGTATCTTTTTCACTGAATGTTATGTATCACTTAACTTTTTCTGTGGTAGTGGCTGCCCCATTATGTATGCGCAGGACCGCAAAGGCTGCTCAATCTCAGAGGGCTGTCACTGCCGCATGACATGAAATTCAGTTTCAGTCCCCCTCAAAATTCAAGAGCCAGGTTACTTCTAGCATATCTTAACTACAGAAAAGTCAAGTCGTATCCGTTATCACTGCGGCATTAACACTACTTTAAAACTTGGATTCCCAGGTTAATCTGTACAATGGTAACAATACCAATGAAGGACTGTGGCCTTTGTACAGTAACTGGGGACACAGCTGAGGATACTGTGTGTGTGCCGTGGACACAGGCATGGGTGATCACTGGAGAGATGATCTCTACTGGGAAAAGCCGTCATGTTTTAAGCCCTTATGAGGAGAAAGATATGGATAAGGGGATGGCAGAAGGGCAAAGTAAGATAGTGGTGCAATCGTAGGAAGATCAAACCAGAGTCAGCTTTACCTGAAACCCTGTCACCTCTGCTCAGAGTGTTAGTGATCGCTGTGAGTAAGCTGTGTTCCTCCACTGCCTGGGTCCTGGGATGTGTGGTAGAATTTCATTTTACATTCCGCCTGAGCCAATAACATTTTAGCTTCGTTAAAAATATAGGTACATTTTAAAAAGAAAGGGGAGCCAAGGGATGTATTACTCACTAGGTAAATTTCAGGAAGCATGTTGGTTCCAGGTGTGTAATAGGCAAATGTGGTGTTTTGTTTTTCCATGTGACAGCTGAGCGTGCTCGAGTGGGTCTTGCACCGTTGCCTGGAATGAAAGGAACAGATTACATTAATGCTTCTTATATCATGGTGAGAGTCAATGGTTAATTATAAATAAAGTCAATTAAAGTGAAAGGTGCTAAAGAGCAGATACCACTTATATGACTGATTTCATTTTTCAAAGGATTTCTCAATATGTAGTATCAAAATTATAGAGATTTCCCTGTCTTGGAACCTGTAACAAAAGACACCTAATTATTGGGAGTACAAAAATGCTTACATTAAGAAAACCGCTTGTTAAGGAATTAATTTTATTGTTAATTTCACCCATCTAGTCTTGGAGTAAATGTTGAAATTACTGTTAAGTAAAAACAGCAAGGGTAACTAGAAGTGAATTGCACATGGAGAGAAAATTGTCTACACGTGCTAGCAGAAGTGCATCTAAAAATTAGCCAAATGCACTGAAATGCCTTTTTCATTTATTTCAGTACGGTCTAAACAATGCTGTCTTACTTCATGAATATGTTTTACTACTGCAAAGTTAGAATAAAACACTCATAATCAATGGTTGTTTGTCTTCCTAACTGAAGGGCTATTATAGGAGCAACGAATTTATTATAACCCAGCATCCTCTGCCACACACCACGAAGGATTTCTGGCGAATGATTTGGGATCACAACGCACAGATCATCGTCATGCTGCCAGACAACCAGAGCTTGGTGAGTCAAGCACATCGCTCTATCTTAATGAGCCGGGGAAGCCATACGTATAAGTTACTTTGAGACCTTGCCACAGGGCTGTCTAGAGTGTCTGTGGCTGCTGGGGAGGGTGTTCAGACCTCTCATCTTTAAGTCTGTACAGATTCCCCTTGTAGACTCAGGTACTCGATTCTCTAATGCTGGTGATATCACCCCTCAGTGATACTGTGCATGGCAATGCGGTAGGTGGTTTTGAGAAAGGTCCTTTTACTAACCTCATTAATGTATATCCTTTACCTGACCTCTTAGTTGCTATATGTCACTTTTGAAAAAAATAGCAGCTAACATTTGAGAATGTAACTATTAATTACTCAGTCTGTATTTTTTCCTTTTTATTGAACTTATTGGGGAGACACTAGTTACTCTAGCGTATTAGTTCTTTTACAATTGTATGGCATAGGTACTCCTAATCTCATTTAATAGCTGGGGAAACTGAAGGAAATTACTTCTCCCCTGCCATAGATAAGTCATATACATTACAGAGAAGGAGATAAGGAAAGGCTATTTTGTTCCCACTTAAAGGTATTTTTTAAGAACTTGACTAAGCTGCCATCTCTTTCTCTTCCCTTTCACCTTCCCTACTGAGCTCTCTAAACATAGAAGGGTCAGCAGGGTTATAAAAGGAACCTTAAATGTTTCTGCTTAGATCTGTTTCAGAATTAATTGGATTCAAAAGTTACTGTAAGGACATATAAGCACATGAAGTTAAAACAAAAACACAGAGGATCTGCCTCTGCAAGTGTCAGATTAGTGCGGTTTTTAATCAGGAAGGAACAGCGTGGGATTGAACCCTGAGTCTTGGTGACATGCATTTGACTGTGTGCCCAGTCAGTAGGAACTTCACTGTCGCATTTTGCTCCAGCTTCAGAATACCAAGGCTGCTTCTGCATGAGAGAGTGGCAACAAAGTTGAGAATCTGAAGCTGAAAACTGGAGTGTAAATTTTCAAATTAGCTGGCAGGAGGGGGCCTGTTCTCTTGGCATGTGGAATTTGGAGGCATTTAGGGTTGTTAAAACGTTCACTTGTTGGATGAGTTAGTATTTTGTTATTGTTTTAGGACAGTCACCAAAAGCATCTACCCACAAGCTCATTGGTTTGGGAGGGGGGCTACGGAGAGACTGGACCAAATGAGTGGAGACATGGTCAGCAGACAGTGAGGATACAGGAACTGCCCTGGACCACATCATCACAGCACTGCTGAGGTCTAGGGGGGGTGCACCCTCAGCTCCAGGGTCGAAAGATTCATTTATTGAGGTTTTTCCTAGAAATAATGTCCCCCAATTTCTGTGTTTGCTTTATTGGTTATTACTACTTCATGAGACCACAATTCTGTGAAAAGGCCAAAAGTCAAAAGTCACTGGTTCCTAATTCAGAAAGCATTGTTAGAAGTGCATAGACATCTTTGACCTATACAAATGTATTTGTCAGCAAAGTAAGCATGAGGCCAGAGTGCCTACTGAATTAAGTAGCAGCATTTATTTTCCTTTGTCGTTCAAGGTGATCACTTATTCCCTAGTTCATTACCTGCAGTCAGAAGTTTCCCTCTGCCTTTCTTCCACCATAACTAAATTTCTTTGGCAGTCTTCAGACCAACTCGGTAACTTCCTATTCGTGTTACCATCATGAAAGTTCTGAGACCATAAGCGTCATCATTCCCACTTTGCAGCCGTGGAGTGGAGGCTCAGGTAGAGTGATTTATTCAGGATCACACCCAACCCTAAATCCTATGCTTAATCTGTGCATATTGTTTAACGATGGCCCTGTCCATCATTAATGACCTTGTTTTTAATATCTGTTAAAAAGACCCTACTTCCATTTCCTTGGACAAAATGAATTAAAGCACGTGACAGTTACAGACTTCTTTTGTAAAGCCTAAACCCAATTGCTAATCTGCCTCCCCTTATGCCGAGCTTTAAAAATAAAAATGTCCTTGGCAATAGCTGTATCGAAACTTGAAAGGGTGATAAGTCTTATTGGACTCTTGGCTCATTCCTAATGCAACATTGTAAGATTAAACAAAACCCTCTTTGTTTTGAACACTGTTCAGAATTATTTCTGACTTCGCTGGTAGTAGCTTAGATTTTCAGGAAAATGCCCATAGAAAGTTATAAATTACAGGCAAACTTTACTTTGCCATTTGAACTGATAGAAAAGGGAGGGCTTATTGTCAAAATAATTTTATTTCTCACAAAGTCTCCAACCTATGCAACAATTAACTCTTTTTAGGCCTCCAAAGTTTTCAGGGATAGGATTCAAGTACCGAGCCTGAATATTTACTTTTAATTTTAAAATAGATGAACATTTTAAAGCTTCCTGATTCAAGGCTAAAAGACTTTGTGTTATCCCCTCTTGACACCTAACATCGACATACTTTCTTTTAAAGAACAATATACTTACAGCCAACATGCTTATTTGTGCGCCACCTCTTTCCCTTACCATCTATCAGTGTGATTTTAGACAACTTACAGACGTCTCTGAGTCTCAGTACTCGCATCTGCATGGACAGATGATAAAAATCCCTTACCTCAGTAATCTATTGTAAAAATTAAATAACAGATGTTATGAAAGTCCTTTTGCAAAATGCCAATCAACTGTAGAACTGTTATTAACATAATCCATAGGAAGTAACAATTAGCATGTCTTAGTTGCTTAAGCAATTGTGAATAGCTTAGAATTAACTGACCTAAATCTGGTCGTCTTTTCCATGACAATTACATTATAAAGCACTTCTCAACTGTGGGTAATGCATCCCCCATAGATGCATTTTGGCTGTTACAGTGACATAGGTAAGAAGTGCTAGAAATGGTTATTATCACGTATGTTTTACAATAGAATGCAATAAATAACCAATCAACTTGGCATGATTAGGTGAGGATATAATTCTATGAGCCCAATTTAAAAGACGACTTGAGAGGTATGGCAAACATAAGAAATCATTTTGCAAGAAATTCATAAATAAATGGTTGACAGCACTGCGGAGGGCTTTTTTGTTCCCATAGGCAGAAGATGAGTTTGTGTACTGGCCAAGTCGAGAAGAATCCATGAACTGTGAGGCCTTTACCGTCACCCTTATCAGCAAAGACAGACTGTGCCTCTCTAATGAAGAACAAATTATCATCCATGACTTTATTCTGGAAGCTACACAGGTAACCTAACCCTCAGTTCCTGAGTAACAGCTGTATCTGGGCCCCAGATCGCCCTAAGTAAGTGATATTGAAGTAATTCACCTTCAGGCCAGCCCAGGCACTCAAGTATGACTTAAGTTTAAGTATGTACACTTCACCTTTTTTCTGCCTTCCAATATTTGTTTTCCCAGCTGGATAGATGAAATGTAACCAGTTCCTCTGATTGAGCACACATACAAATAAGTCTGTTGACATAATTATAAAAAACAATATACCAGAGCTCAGTGTTTTCTTTGTCATCAGAACTGTAAAGCTTGCAGTGTTGCAGACATGGTAATATTAAGACGTTTGGGTTACACAGCATTTTGATGTGTAGTGACTGCCTTCTTATGGGGCAGGTAAGAGGGGAGCTGGCTTATATTGGTAATTGATCTTCTAACCCCTTTTTCTTTCATTTTAAAGATAAGAATTGTCACTTGAAATGTTTGCCTGAAAAAAATAGGATTCCACTATTCTGTCCTGAGCTGCTCATTTTTAAGGGCAGGCAGCTTCCCTGTACTTTCTTTCTTGCCGACTGCCCTGGCTTTCTCAGGAGCAAGCCCCAGCCATTGATGATAAAGTGAAATGAACTCTTGTTGTCTTGGCCGTAGGATGACTATGTCCTAGAAGTTCGGCACTTCCAGTGTCCCAAATGGCCCAACCCCGATGCTCCCATAAGCAGCACCTTTGAGCTTATCAACGTCATCAAGGAAGAGGCCTTAACCAGGGACGGCCCCACCATCGTCCACGACGAGTATGTACCTGCCTCTGAGGTTTCTGATTTGCATGTTTTCCTGCTGTGTTGCTCTGGCAGGGGAAAGGGAAGGCAGATTTTAGAACCTCTTCACTCTCTCACCTTGTGACGATCTGTCCTTTCGAATGTGCACCTGTGCAAGGTGGTGTGGTTCCATCTTCATTTTCATTTGTCAAGCTCTGCAGGGCCTCAGGTTTGCTGAGAGTGCATGCTCTAGAAAGGTGAAAGTCCCCTAGCTCAGCCTGGCAAAGTGGATCCGCCACGCACTTTCCGGGCTTTTCTGTTTCATAATAATCCCCCTGGATTAAACAGTTACACCTTCTACACTGAACTTCAGCAAACACTTATTAGGAAAGAAACCTTTTAAATATGGTTTAGTTGATCAGCAGTAAAAAAGTTAAACTACTAGAGCTCAGTGTTTTGAAGTTTGGAGTACTGTCTTTGGGATTTAAAGGTAAAGAATGCAAATCTCAGAGAACACACTGCTCCTGGCTCAGATTCTAAGGTACCAACCGTGTTCAAGCCCAGCCCCTTCCACTTTAATAAGAGGGAAGGGTCAGAGACAGACCTTCTGGTGTAAAGACATCTGGAATCAGCCTGTGCATCAGTTGCGCAGAACCCCGGAAACCTGTAGCCGGTATGGCCCGTTACACATCCTCACCTCTCTCTTAATTCCAAGGTAGCAAATTCTCAGCATCCATCATGTTCATTAAATTACCAATTACTCTAATAGCATAGGTATTTAATAAATTTGAAAGTAAAGCTTATTGCTGTCTTTTTTTTTTTTCTCTCCTTGAACTAATAATATCAGAGAGCACAGAGGTTTTCGGCCTAGCTTAGCACCTTAACCTCAGACACATAGTCTCTTCTGTTTGAAGTGGGCCCTGGTTCTGGCTGCTCTCACCGTTCTGTGGGCTCCCCTAGGAAACAGTGACTACTACAGATATTGGCCTGACAGACTAAGAATTAAGATTAGAAGAGCATTATGGTAGAAACTGCAGTTGAACGGTTAAATGGCACCCCAAATGAGGTCCCTGGAAATGTGAAAACCACCATCAGTGTATAAATAGCACACAGAGAGCCTCAGAATTACTGGGTAGTTGCTATTGGCTATGAAACTTTAGGGTAGGCAGTTATAGCATAAATTTAGGGCTGTTTTTAGAGGGTTCTTCCCCACTAAAGTGAATCATATCTTTAAATTACTGGGCCATTTACTTTTCCAGTTGTCATCCCAATCCCACAGACCACTTTCCCTGCAAATACCCTTTCCTCAGAGTGCCCTGTCACTCAACACGCGGTTCAAAAGGCTCTCTCTGAAACTGTCTAACTCATTTCAGAGGTGATAAAGTCATTAATAAACATCACATCCTCACCAGTGCCATTCCTATTCATCGTACACTGTAACCACTTGTCCACATGCCTGGAGACCAGCAGTGGTAACTTACTCATCCCAGTCTCTGTAGGATGAAGCCCAGTGCTGGTGCCTAGTGGGTGCTGGGCAGTATTGGCATGAGTGGATACTGTGCTTCAGACTGTGAACTACAAATTTTAAGGCTACATACTCCTCCTTTCTAAGCCTTGTACCTTGTTTTTGTGGTGTTTGTCATGTTGCCTGCGTAAATTCTTCTGTGAACTATAAAACCAATTTACAAAGTTTTTTAAGCTCAAAATTAGAAGTGAGCAGACTTGGAGAGAAGACCTGAGTGCTTCCACTGTAAGTCCAAGTTTAACTTTTAGTGCACAGTCTTTGTGAGATCTCTTTGGTCTTCATAGAGATCTTTTAAACACCCACTTCAGGGTTCTCAGCTGTGTACCAGGTGGATGAAGTTTCTAAATAAATGATCTAAGGAACAATTCCTCAACAAAAAGTAAACTGATTCTATTTAAGGACAGGCACAGCTTAAAAGCAAACTGCTCTCTTCACAGCATCCTATATTCATCTGTTGAGGACAGTTCTGTTCAGAGGCTGATCTGTATCATTACTATCAAGTTTTAAAAATGGAGCCTATCTGTCTACAGAAGTTGGAAGATAGGCACAGTCTTGTGAGACAACAGAACAGGCCTTCACAAACAAAACAAAGAACAGTTTCCTGTGCAAATACTAATGTTCTTCACACTGGAGACATATCTGTCACCTGTTGGTATCATAATCGCCTGATTTCACCGAACGGTTCTCAAAGTGTGATCTAAGGACACCTGGTTGAGGGGTAGGGGAAGGAGTTTTCAAGGCCCCTCCAGGACATGGAAGAGCTCAAAACTATTTTCATGGTAATGCAGGCACTGTTTGCCTTGCTCAGACCTGCCGTGAGCGCTCAGTGTTCCACAGCTGTGTCGTTTCGGATGACACCCTCACTCTGATGGTTAGGGGAATATGTGTGCTTGCATGGTTTTGAATTTTAACAGTTTTCTCAGTTCTGATTTCTGATATTGATAGAGCCCAAATAAGCAAAAGCTCTCTGGAGGTTTTCAATAACTTCCTATTTTTAATTTGGTTCTAAGATAGTCTAGGAGATGCAGAAATATATGGAGTATGTTCTACATCAACTGCTGCAAAGACACTAATTCATTGAATCCTCGAATGTGCCCCTCTAGGAGGGTACCTTTAGGATCCCTGCCTCACATATGGGAAAATAGGCCCTGTGTGCACATCTAGTTAGTGTCAGAGCCAGGACCAGCCACATGATTTGTGGGGTCCAGTGTAAAATGAAAATGTAGGAACATGTGCCCCAAAATTATTAAGAATATCCTGATGGCAACAGCAGAATACTAAACTTAAGTGCAGGACCCTTCTGCATAGGGGATCCAGCAAAGCTTGGGGGCCTTGCCACAGCCAAACCCAGACCCGTCTTAATTCCGCTGGTTTTCATAGTGAGCACTCCGTGCATGTCTGCCCTTTGGTCAGACTGCAGGATTTTCCTTCATTCACTGCAAAGTTTTAATTCCTTAGAGTCTCATGGAAGGCATTTGTATTGCCATTTTCCCCAGGACTGATATGTTTCCAAGCATTAACTCTGTTTTCCTTCTCACCCTAATAATGTCTGAGGGAGCTTCGCTTTCTTCACAGTGACAGGGTTCTAACTCTGGATGGCGTTCTTGGTTGTCATTTCAAAAAAGACGACTTAAAGGCAAAGCTATAGTTGTTGTGAGTAGTTATGTGAAATAGTTAAATGATTCAATGGGCATGTAAATATTATACACACTGACTGTAGGAGGAATCCCAGTGTGTTTTAAAATGTGTGTAGGCAGAACACTTAAAAACACTGCATTGGTATCTTAAAGGGCTTTCATATCTTCTAGGATTTATTTGTGGCATAGGCAGGGAAAGGCGAAGGTATGTTTCATTTTTTTTCTTAACAGCACTAGTTAAACGAGCATTGCTTTCGAGGAAGTGCAAACGAACTATCCAAGAGAGGACTTTATACACTATTCTTATTTATCTAGCTTATGAATGACCTGCGTCACTTCTTACCAAGGCTCTGTAATTTTAAGACAGATCGGTGAAACTTGCAAACACATTCTTGACTCCTACTTAATTCCCAAACTGCTAAAAAAGAACAGCCTTTCTCTGTCTTTATTCTTTCATATTCATGCTTGGTTTATAGAAGATACTTCAGAAGGTCTGTGCATTTGAGTTGACTTAGTTTGTCTTCATGTGCAGATACTTCCTTTATTTAGGTTCTGATTTAAGAGTAGCTAAAAACAGGGGAGGCCAGACTCATTCCACATGGCCTGCACACTACATGATAAATACATAACATCTGACTTTTCTACCTGAATGGCTGTGCACAGCTTTAATAAAGAGCTAAGGAAGAGGGGGAAAGATCCTGAATCTAACAACTTCTCTAAAATAGACTAGCAAAGGTTAAGTTCTCCCCCTCCTGGAAAACATCAGCACCATGCTAAAATGAGGCGGTAAACTCAGCACAACTTAGCATCTGAGGAAAGAGCAAACATAATGGGATTTCAAAATATGCTCAGAGATCTGAAGGAAGACTGTGAAATGAATTAAAAACATGTGTTGTGTATCAGAAACAAATTAGAGCCTAAGAAATAGAAAAAGAAGACATGTGCCGGTAGTAGGATGGACAAAGCTGAAATAAAACTGGGATATAGAAGCTGGATACAGATGTTTTAACAAATGTCTAAGAGATGATGCCAGGGAGAGATTCAAGAGGAAGAAATAATGGCTGAGGTTTTCCGAGAACTGAATAAAGAGAAGTTCTGCCCGGCCGGCGTGGCTCAGCAGTTGAGCATCGACCTAGGATCCAGGAGATCACGGTTCAATTTCCGGTCAGGGCACATGCCCGGGTTGCGGGCTCGATCCCATGCGGCATGTGCAGGAGGCAGCCAATCAATGACTCATCATTGATGTTTCTCTCTTTCTCTCTCCCTTCCTCTCTCTGAAATCAATAAAGACATTTAAAATAAATTCTTAAACTGAACAACCAGGATACATTGGGACAATAACATTCAGAGATTTGAATACCACAATTAACAAGGCTAATCTAATAGTGATACATAAAAGTATGCACCTGAGAGACTGTTGAGAGACCGTATAGTCTCTTCAGATAAAGATGATTTAGATAAACTGACCATAAATGGAATTTCAATAATTTCAAAAAAACTGATACCATACAATCCCATATTTTTAATATTAAAAACCAACAATGAAATGAGAGCCCAAATCATGAGACACTGAAGTCCTTATATCTAGAATTACTTATAGATAATTCATGGGTTAAAGAGGAATTGAGAATAGAAATTACAAAATACTTAAAACTAAATGATGATGAAGGCACTGCATTGCCAAACTACACTGAGAAAAAATTCTAGCCTAAGCTGTAGCTATTGCAGAAAAGATTAAAAATAAACTAATGTTTCAACTCAAGAAACCAGGAAAAAAATAAATTCAAAAAAAGTACAAAGAATTAAAAGATAAAAGCTAACAGTAATGAAATGGGGGCAGGGAGGAGGTAGTAAGTCTAACGAAAGATACAACT